AAGAGGCGAATGAATTAGACAGTGGGGCAAGAAAAAGTATAAGGCTCATTAAAAGAGGCGGGTGAATTAGACAGTGAGGCCAGAAAAAGTATAAGGATCGTCAAAAGAGGCGGATGAATTAGACAGAGGGGCAGGAAAAAAGTAAAGGTACCATCAAGAGGCGGAGGAATTAGACAAGGCGGCCAGAAAAGTATCACGTCTGATTAGACAGAGGGGCAAGGAAAAAGTATAAGGCTCATTAAAAGAGGCGGATAAATTAGAAAGTGAGGCCAGAAAAAGTATAAGGATCGTCAAAAGAGGCGGATGAATTAGACAGAGGGGCAGGAACAAGTATAAGGATCATCAAAAGAGGCGGATGAATTAGACAAACAGAACAGAGAAAAAAAGGGACAGTTAGATACCAAAGATAAAAAACAGGCATTTTCTACCAATAGAACAGGCATTTTCTCTTCTCTGTCTGTCGGCCTCAATTGTGTTAAGTAAAGGAATGAAAAAGAAATCTTCAACCATTAAGATAATTCATGTACGTGGCGCTTTGACAACAAACATCAAGCATGTATGAATGGAAGTTGAGAACGTACTTCACGTGAGTGATTCTCAAACATGAACAATTGTTGCAGGAAATTAGTTTTAACGGGGAAACATGCGAATGGGAGAAGGTACGACAGGAGTAAAAACGAGCTCGTTTCCTGGATGTTCGACTTAATTACACTCCAGGGCCATGTTCTTAATTGTTTTTAAAAGTTTTGTTTTTGAATTTATGAAAAGTGAGCGCTTTCATTTATGTTAAAATTCATATTGCAAGTGGAACTCTCGTCACATGCTCACCCGCAGAGAAGTAGTGGTCACACCTGGCTGGTTTGCCGGTCGGGTGTTCCAAGTATAACCTTTCTGAAGGTTTAATGGGGTATATGAGATTTGGCCTGCCTGTTAGCTTGCCATCCAGATAAAGATTGTATAATCCAAAGATTGTTAAAGCTTTAGTTAGCCCTCCTGGAGAGAAAGTGAGGAAGGTGGGGGGGGGGGGGCAGAGCACCACAAACGGAAAAATGAGGTGGTGGGGGGGGGGGGGTGGCACAGAATGGGAAGAAACACTGTGAGTGGGGTAATAAAAATAAACCGATTACAAATGTTGAAGTTAACACAGGGATATGGGAGACGAGATTATATATATATATATATATATATATATATATATATATATATGGATAACACCCGATTAAAAAAAAAAGAATAACATAGATAAAGAAAAGAATAAGACTGGCCAAAGTCGCTTTTTATCAAATGAAGAACATTTTATACAATAAACCCACGTATTGGAGGTTAAAACAAGAATTATCGCATGAAATATAGAGCCAGTTTTAACATACGGCTGTGAAGCCTGGGCAATTAATAAACAAACCAAAGAATACCTTGAGGCCCCAGAGATGTGGTTTTGCAGAAGAATCCTTTGAATTCCTTTGACAGCTAAGAAGCTAAACCTCGATGTTTTGCAAGAGGCGAGGGCTCGAAGACAACTTATCACAAGTATCAGAAAGAGACATTCACATTACTTTTTGGTCATGTTAAGAGAAGAGGGAACTGGAACATGTTGTGACCGCTGGAAAGATCTGTGGAAGGAAAAAGACAGAGAAAGACAGCGCGAGAAGATTCTTGACATTTTGTTAAGGTTTGGAGGCGTGCCAAAACACAAACTGATACAGACTTTTGCAGACTGCAGACTGTGGAATGGCATGCTCGCCCACCCCAGTCGAAAAGGCACTTGATGATATATATGTGTATATATGAGTTGAAAGAGAACAGTTAACTAATTAAATCACCTACTGATTAGCCCAGTCACTGCGAAGACCGATAAAGGACGCCGTTCCACCAAGTTTCTGAACTCAACAACCTATCAGATCAGCTCATATCTGTGTCCTCGTGTTCTTGCACGCGCGCGTGTGTGATTGTATGGTGTGTGTGTGGTGTGTGGGTGTGTGTGTACGCCTGGTGTGTGTATGTGTGTGTGTGTGTGTAATATATTTCGTAGAATAATTTTTTTTAATTGTCCTACCCCAAAAAAAAATTATGCTGGTACTCACCTCATTGCGTCTGTAACAAAAAAGGTGCCTGAAATCATCACAGTGTCTGTTGCATAACACTGTAAAGCACGATGCCTAAAAAAGGTGCTGGTGCTTGGTTTAGCCCACATACCCCATACGTCATACAAATTAGGGGGCAGACTTTAAGGTTAGCAATCCTAGTTTAAGAGCATAATAATAATGAATGGTAAAAGTATATAATAACCCGTCTGAAATAACAAGACATGTATAAAAATACTTAAATAGAGAATTGTTGTACATGGTTACAATTGGCGCCGCCTAGCCTAATGACAAAATTATCGAGAAGTGGCTGAGCAAAATATTGGGGTCGCACGGGTAGGGAGGGTGAGGGAGAAGTGGGGGGGGGGGACAAGTTGCCAGATCTTCCTGACCTACCGAGGATTTGATCGTAGGTTTTC